AGACCTTGACTGGAAAAGAGTGGTTCATGTACATTAGAAGGGCATCAATGTGAGGCAGACTTGAGACATCAGGATGAATATGGACCGTACTCACCGCTGAGCGTGTGGGCCGAATAGGGCAGGAGGGCAGAAGGTGCTCCTGGGACCCACAATACAGACAGAGCACTTGGGTGATTCGGCGAGCCCGTTCCGTGGTTGATAGACGATAACGGTTTGTTTGCATCGGCTTGGGTGCTGGAGGAGCATTACTCGGTGAGGCGGCAGCAGAGGAGGAATCCACGATGTGACAAGCGGTTAGATGTTGGGAGATGTGCAGCGCTTTTTGCAGAAAGCTCTCTAGTCCTACGGTGTCTTCATAGATGGACATTTGCTGTCTGATTGAAAGGTTTAGTCCACGTCGGAACGCTGATAGAAGGGCCATTTCGTTCCATCCGCTGCTTGCCGTGAGGGTACGGAATAGAACTGTATAGTCATGGATGGACATATTCTCTTGCCGTAGTCGAAAGAGCTCATCGTGCACAGAGACCGCCAAGGTAGTTTTGCCAAACACCTCGCGGAAATTATGAATGAAGGCATCATGGAAGCACACTAGGGGACTGCGCGAATTCCAGAGAGCTTCGGCCCATTGCAGCGCCCTTCCAAACAGTAGTGAATTGATGAATGCGATCTTCGTTTGATCATTCACAAACTGATGGGGTTGTAATTCAAAGTATAGTAAACACTGGAGTAGAAAACTGCTGCAGGCAGCTGCCTCACCAGAGTAGATGGCAGGTTTGGCCATGGGACATGCAGAGGCCGATGGCCTGACGGGAAGAGGCTGAGGGATTCGCGGAGTGCTTGAACCAAACATAACTTTAACATAACTGAAACATAACTTTAGCTCTAGAAACTGAAGAGTAACAGTCCTTATCTTAATCCTCTGTAGTAGTCAAATTGGCTGGTGAGAGAAAAAGTTCATTTCAAACCCTGAATATAATATATAAATATTTAATAATAATATATATATAGAACATTTATGTTTATATAGTTTTTATTATTTTCGTTTTAGTTTTAGTTTATTTTAGTACATCAAATTAAACTAAATGAAAATGACAAATGTTTCCTTAGGAGCTGTTTGAATCAAATAAGTTTAAGTTTTTTTCTATTTTAATTTATTTCAGTTAACATTTATTCTATTTCAAGTAACAAAATAAAAATGTTTTTATGGTTTTACTTTTAGTTTCAGTTAACTATAATAAGCCTGCTTAGGGGCCTGTTTTTACATTAGCTAAAATCTTACCTTATTGGTAACGTATACGTCAACATCAGTCTTGATATACTATAGGCAATACATGTCATATATTTCTTTTCCATATGGGTATTAGTGGGGTAACTTCAAGTAGTCCTGTGTCATGTGATGGCTGAAAAATGACACACTATGAAGGCATGCAGTACCAGGCTGAAAACACAACTCTTCTGCACTTCTTACTTAATGTGTGAAACATGCTTAAGTTTATCCCCAATATATTTTTGTAATAAATATTAAATATTAAATATTTTGTGAAAAGAAAAAAAAATAATACAAAAAATAATAAATGGTAAAAATACCACCATACACACACACACACACACACACACACACAACAAGCACATTTAGCCCAGCACACAGCATTGTTTTGTACATTCGGTAAGCTGTCCAATCAGGTTGTGACCTTATGCTTATGCCTTTTGTTTTGATTCGGTGTTAAAAATAGCAGTGTGAACGCTAAGTAAACTAAAGCATTTATTAACTAAAGTAATTATTTTCTTTTTTGGTCTGGACCAAAAGAACCAAGATAACCGAACTGCAAATGTGAACACACCCTAAATGAACCGGTTTAATTCAAGTTATTATGCTCCATATGACTGAATCGGCCTGAATAAATTATTGTTGCTCCAACAAATGTAATTTTGAAGTGTCAGAACAGTTAGAAACTGGTAAGCTAACAACTGAACACTTTTATTTTTGACAGTCTACTTGGCTTAACAGCTTCATGTAGCTCAAACAGGATAAGGTTGTAGGTTTGATAGGGAAAGCACCACTCACAGGACATTTATTTTCCAAACAGTCACATTATGCATTTTTAGTGCCACTCATTGGACAATTCATTTTTAAAGCATCCTGAAAGTGCAAGAAGCAACATAATATCATTTTGCAGAAATATGCAGCAAATGCCTACTGTTAGGCGACCATTGGTACAAGACCACGAGAACTAGATGAGTCCTCTGCTTAATCTGACTTGTGTTGCAGTCTGGAATTAAACCACACCATGCTGGTTTTGTCTGGCCAGAGGAGAACTGGCCCCTGGTTCTCTCAAGGTTTTTTTTTTTCCATTTCTGTCACCGATGGAGTTTTGGTTCCTTGCCGCTGTCACCTTTGGCTTGCTTATTGCTCTGGCAATATTGTCGACTTGATTGCACAGACACTATTTGGACAGAACTGAGTTGAATGATGACATCACTGAATCAATGATGAACTGACTTTAACTGGAAAAATTACTCTTTGTTATTGTCCCCTTGCATCATTGACAAACTATTTTCCTGTTTGACACTGTAAAGCTGCGTTGACACAATCAGTGTTGTATAAAGCGCTATATAAATAAAGGTGACTTGACTAGACTTGACTACAACTTTTTCAACGCATTTCATGTACTGCTCTCTTAGCGCAACTGCAGTAAATTTGTAACTCAGGAAAATATTAATGTGTAGGGAATATTCTTTCGAGGTTAAAGCTGTTTTGAGCTGTGTTTCTGCTCTCACGGAAGGGTTCACAGAAAGTTCACTCGCATATATTAGGCAACTCAGTCTTTCATTGTGTCGGTATGAACTAGTAGGAAATGAGCTGCACGCAGGCAGGAGCGTTTAAACGCGATATATTTATAAAAGCATCCTTCATTATAGAGAAGCGCTGTCGCTAACCGGAACGGGACACAGCACCGAGTGGAAACATATTTATGTCGGTTTAGCGATCGTTTTTATTTTGAAAAAGCAGGAACACCGCCAGTGATGATCGGGATGTATCGCATGATTTCTGGTGACTGTGTGGAAACAGAGAGAGATTCGCGCGTGCTAAAACACAGTGAGAGTTTGATGGAGTTTCTGTGAACAAATGAAGGACAACCAGACTGATATTTAATTATTTTATTCTTCAGTAAAATAAAGTGCACGATGTTTGACTGTATGGATGTGTTATCGGGACACATGCTGGAGTTTTACTCGTCCAGTTCCTCGTCGTGTATGTTACAGGAGAAAGCGCTCAAAGCGTGCTTCAGCTGGCAACACCGACGCACCAAACACTGTAGGTCTATACTTTTATTCCCTTCTTATCTTTTTTCTTCTTCTTTTACAACGATTCATATGCGTGGCGTTTAATTCCTGATAAATCAGCCTTTAATTCCCATTTGCAATTATTCATTTTAATAAAGGGTTCATATTAATTAACAGTACCAAAAAGTGCCATGGTAATCCACTGTACCAATGTAGTTCAGTGGTAATATGCTAGAATACCATGGCATTACCATCTGATACAATCACCCATAGCACAGTAATATTACTATGTTTTGTTGATGACTTACCATGGTAATACGATGTTTTGGACATGTCATATGGAATTATTTAAACTGTGGTAATCATTCAGTGACTTATATATCCATAAGTATATATCCAATAGCATGGTATGTAATCTTGATATTGCCATCTGATACCATCAATGTACCATGGTCATAATTTTTGCTCTATACACACACGCCGTAGAAATTATGTTTACAATGATACAAATTATGATACAATTATAAATTACACTATACATTAGTAAGAACAAGGGAAAAAAGTATTCATATAAGCGACTCAGTCTATGGTACTACAGTATTACTGTATGTGTGTTTTGTTTTTCGTTATTTATTTATTAAATTTCTGTCAATTTAAATTAAACGTGGTACCTATATCATGGTATGTTATTTTGGTCATCATTCAAAAGTACAGTATTTATAAAAGTAGCACGGTATTGCAGCTACGCTGCTACAGTACTTTTTGAGGTCATCCTTTACATTACTGTAGGTGGAGTAGATAGTAATGGAGCTGCTTGTAACTACATGCTATTCTTTTTACTATTGTAATTACTAGTAATGTTTTTAGCATGGAACCTGTTTAGTGAAGTGTTACCAAACATTTTAGTGATCAGTTAATGTCTGATCAGTAAAGGGCTAATGAATAATGAAATATTAGCTATTATTTATAGCAGAATGTTAGTAAATGAAACATGTAGCCTACATGTCATAAAGCTTCTCTCTTTCTACAAGTTTAGGTTCTGTAACAAGTCCGGGTTCCTTTATGGTGTGTAGCAAAATGTAAATACCTGGAACATGCCTATGATGTCCAAAAACTCAGTCCTGATTAGAGCTGTAATCGGGCCTTAAAAGTTAGGCCCGACAGAATTCGGCCCGAGCCCGACAAGTACATTTTGATTGACAGCTTTTTAAAAGCCCGAACCCGTTTACAGCCCGACATTGTTCAAATGTACGCACGCACACAGCTCTTTTGCCTTTTGTCAAGAATGAGTCATTTATACATGTTTTAACATCATTTATTCATGACTAACATAGGCTATAGGCCACTTGGAAGTTGGAACAAAGAAATAAAATAAGTCCTCTGTAACATCGTAACATCTCAGCACTCTAAATAGGCCTAGGCATACACTTAGCCTATAAATAGGCCAACGCGCCAATAAAAATTAGTCTTACTTAACAAATTAAATGAAGATAAATTCTAAATTAAGATGGGTATTTGGCAATAACGAAATTAAGATAAAGGCTCCGCGGGATTTTGAAATTTAATAAAAGAATAATGCCAACATTAGCCTATATCTACATTATGCATTTAAGACTCAATTAATATAGTTATAATTTGAAAAACCTTTACTCACCAAGAGTAGGCTACATGTTTTTCTGGAGGAAAATTATTGAATCCACTGTAGATGGCTTCAGCGCGGTCCTGCGCTCACTGATGGTGCGTCCAGCAGCACTGAACACCCTTTCACTGCTGCTGCTACTGGCCAGGATGCATAGTACTGATCTGGCTAATTTTGCAAGTTTTGGGTAGGATGGTTTGTTGATCTTCCACCAGCCAAGAACATCCATTTAATTTTCCATGACAGCCGTTTCAATGTAGCGAGTGACCTCGTCATCTTTCCAGTCAGCTTGCTGTACATTTTCCTCCTCAGCATCCATTTTCGCATCTTTCTCGCGCTAATTGAAACGCATCACATGACTGCTCATTTACCGCGCAAGCCGGAGCGCAAGCCCCGAGCCCGGCCCGAGCCCGTGTAAAATGATATAAATTAAGCCCGAACCCGAGCGAACCCGTCGGGTCCCGTCGGGTTCAGGCAAAGATCTTCAGCTCTAGTCCTGATAACACCTGATTTTTAGATGCAGCCGAACACTACATATCTGCACTGTGTGCAACCTGTTTCCCCACTGTGATTTATGGTCAGTGCAGCAGCTTTAGGAATGTGCTCTGTAAACATTCATGACTTTGACACCCACCGGCCCAGACCCGCACACAAACTCAGACAGATAGACGCAGAAAAGACCCCTGAAACCGACTTTTTTAACACAACTATAACTTCATTACATTTTTTTTTTTTTTTTTATCTGAGCTTGCTTGAGCACTCATTTATTGAGAAAGCATATCCTCCACGCAAGTCATCCAAATGTCTGTTTGGTCCTTTACCGTCAAAAGCACTATTTATTTTTGCGTCCTAATGGCCCTCATGAAGATAGCACTGAGTGCACACTCACTGTCATTTCCCCGGCCATATTTGCTCAGTGGACACAAATCAAAGCAAAGTGGCCCTTATCGGACGGCAAACGTCTGACGGTGTCAACAGCCCACTCAAGCTCCCTGAGATGCCTGTGTTCACGCTGTACCGGGGCGATTACCACAATCCATTCACTCAGTGTGACTGAATAACATTTGATTTACTGGATGACTCGCATTATATAGTCTTCTAGAGCAGTATCTTGAACTTTCCCCAGACCTGCTGGATCTTGATGCAAGATCAATGCAACTGTACTTTAGTAAAACAAAGTCTGTACTACGTTACCATGAAATGGAAATTGGCATAATTTTCACACATCATTATGTCTTGTATATTGTGTTCTTTGGTTCAGCAGCTACGAGTAATTAAATTATTTTCTATAGGCCACCTGATTCTTTAGTAATCACACAATCTAAATGTGTTTATTCGCATCTCAGTGAATTAGAAAATGATCATCATTAGTGTGTATTGGTAAATTGCTCGGATAAAACAGCTTGTGTTCATCTGTGTCAAGTCAAGTCAAGTCAAGTCAAGTCTGCTTTATTGTGGTGCAATGAATTGAGAACGAGAATGAATTGGTGCAAAGATAAGAAGGATGAGTTTGCCCTTATTTATTTATTGTAATTTTATATTTGTTATGGTAAAATCTATTTTTTTTATTCATGTTCAAATAAGACTCCATTTCATTCTTATTTTGGATAATGGAAACCTTTACCATATTAATTATGGACATGGAAATTGTGAGTTTGCTAAAAACAGCTGCCCCCTCATATTTTTAGTCATGAGAAATAGAATACAATAGTGTTCTCTATCTACATGATGCTCAGTGCCTTCAATTAGGAAGAAATCTTTAAGAGTCTAGATCTAGTGGAAATTCTTCTTGAAAATAATCATAGTTTCTTGTTTGAAATAATACTAACTGAATAAAAACCTTAAGTTATTGACAGTTCAAAGTATGGAAGCAAACTCATTTCATTCATTCATTGAATTCTTATTTTATTGTAAAGTACAGTAATAACATTAATATGAATATTCATATCAAAATACATATTTTTTAAGTTAATTCATAAAGTAGCATCCTGACAGTAGAAGACATAGTCCCTGGCATGTAAACCAAGGTTATTAGTTAGATTCTATCAGTGTTGAGTAAAGACATATACATTAACTAGTTAACAGGTGTTTCATGTCATACCTGTGACTAGCAGTGGTCAACTGATATGGATTTTTCAGTAGTTGAGAATGTACAACTGTACAATTTGATATGTACAGAATATTTTTACTTTACATGACATATATAAATAGTTTGAAACAATTGCATGATCCATTTGTGCATTATTCACTATATAGGGAAATTGCAGACTCAATATTACAACAATATTTTGTTGCTGATTAGTATTGCAATTTATGTAATACCTGTAATTGTGATTCGATGATACAACATATTTCGCACATTTGTAACTGCATCTTGCTTCACAAAAAACAAGAACAGTTATGTACTTCAACTTTATGTATTTTGAATGTGCTGATTTTTTTTTTCACCCTCTGAGAATTACTGGGCAATTTTGGGGAATTTTCTTCAATACTTTGTTTTTCCATTGCATTGTTTGCATATTGCTGTGATAGCAACGTGTTTTGTCACAACCTGTGCATATGCATCTAGACAAAAAAAATACAGCTTCCTATATACAGTACCATTCTAATATAATAAAAAATGATGTTTCGTCAAAGCAACAAAATTGTTTTGAATCTATATTTTTGCTTGCAAGGTTTGTGGTTATTTTCAAAATTTACAGATACCATCCTAGTCACTATGTACACTTTTTAGCCACTTGTTACTGTATTGTGTCATGACATATAGCAAATAAGAAAATAAATGAAGAAATAACATATAGCAAATTACAAAATAATAATAAAAAAAAAAAATGCTGTGTGTCCTCAAATCTTTCTTATAGTGACTTATGAGCTGTGGACTACACAGCTGTCAGTTTATTTGCCATAACCTAGTTCAAATCCTTCTCTCTGTTCAAGTCAACCAGATTTGAGATATTTGGGAAACCTATCTAATATAATTTAAGCAGTTCAACACAACAAATTTGTGCTGGGCTCAAAACGACAGTATTCCCAGACCACCAGTCTGTCATCAGACCTCTTAGCTATGTTTGAACCCTTTAGCCTCAGCGTGTAAAAACATCATAAGAGGCATTTGGAGAGATTAGAGCAAGATGTTTATACACCTCCCTCCATTATGCTAGTGTGATATGTGCTAATTACGACCAGTGCTCGCTCGCTCTCTGTTTTTCTCTCTCTTTATCGCTTCACAGGCAGACTTGAAAGGCCATTGGCACAGTGTGCACGGCAAGCTAATTTTGTGCGTCTGTGATGTGACGCCTGTACTGCCGGAATAAAAAAGCTCTAACACAACTTTGAAATGGGATGAAGCTGCATGTAATATATAGATGATGGTTGGTAAGGGAGGGCCTTGC